CAGAATGGGCTTGTATCAGAATCGCCACACAGAAAACCAGCGGTGTCCTTTCTGCGGGTCTGCGTTCAAATCAACTGCCAACCAGAAATGCTCTGTCAAATACAAGACGTCTGCCTCAGCTTTTGCCCACTGAAGACAATTCTTTAGACTAGTCTATAGCCCATTGGTGCCATACTGAGTGAAAATTGAAGTCTAACATCATATCAACAGAGATCTCAGATGTGTGGCTCCCAAGCTAGTCGCCCTTTTAAGAAATCTGTTTGAGCGCTGAAGGGCTGAAGGCCAGGTCCACCGCAAATTGGTTCACGAGCTCACCGATGGGTAAACCGACCGAAGGTCTCGGGGAGTCTCTCGGGGAGTCCTTTCGGAACACGTGGTGAAAGCCATGGGTCGGATAGATGATCTGAGACTCATGTTGAAAGATAGCGCCTTCAAGGCGCAAAGAGAGAACCGACAGCCACCAACGCGCGTAAGTTCAAAGGAAGCTGCAACAAAATGCGACACTCTGAGAACTACATCAGTTGTTGTTCCATGGCGGGCCTTTGGCAAACGCGAGATACCGTGCGGTTTTGTTCAAGCCAAACTTGCCGGTGGCAGGTCTCCTCCCATCGAACCTGACTGTTGCCCACCGACATCACGATCTCCCCGTCCGGGACGATCAACCCCAAATGCACGCTCAAGCCTCGCACTCCGGAAGGACGCGCTCAGACGGTGCCCCCCAAACCCCAGCCAATCCTCACCAGACAGCCAAGGCGCAAGGTCGGACAAAATTGTGGTGGATGAAAATCACACCTCCTGTGACAATGTTGGGGCCTCATTGTAACCCCCTGATTAAATTAATGCTAAGCTCCCTGCACAAAGACGATGTTCCATTTCAAACGAGGTTGGACAAAAAAAAAAAAAACACTTATCCGATTAGTGCTAACCTTCCCTGCTCCCCCCCCCCCCGAACCCCAATAAAGAAAAAATACAATTATAAATTACATAAGCTCTCCGATGGTACGTTCTTTCAGAGTTTCACGGATTGCCAACATCAGATCTCAGATCTAAAAAATGTTAATTTTCCAAAAGACTACAGTTTGCTTAAATAATCAATATTTCACAAGCTAACAAAGAGTATCAAGGCCCTGATAGCAACAAACAACTGACTGATCATGTCCCCGTGGTACGGTTAACAAGGGTCACAGAATTTCCCCTCCAAACATAGAGCAGCTTACTTGTGGAATCCGAAAACAGACAGCAACTGTTGGTGGTTCCAAACCTATGTCAGCACCAATTCGATCCGTCCGAGCGGCGCGGGGCATTGCCGAAGTGCGGCTTCAGGCGACCCCCAGGCCGCATCCGCAGAAAACCCGCGCCAGAGCCGCTCGTCCTGAAGGTTTGGGGGCAAGATTGATTGGGGAAAGTTTTCACCAGCCCAGCGCTAGACGGCTCAAGGTTGAGGGGAGGAAACCAATACCAGGGCTCCCTATATTTCCCCTCAAAACATCACCCCCGCCAAGGCACGCTCACCTTTCATGGGCCAAAAAGGTGATGTTCAAAACCACCAAAAAGGGACATATAGGGACCCTTTTCCGACAAATACAATATAACTCACGTCATGTCAACCCAAAACAAACACACTTTCCGAGCAAATTCCAAACATGCGCAGCGCCACAAGGGTCCCAAGTGTAAACATATTTTGCCTTCTGACCTGGACCGAAACCTTTTCGTTGGCAATGAACCCCCCTTTCTCGGTTACTATTTCTGCTCCCCTGCTAAAAGTGGCTAACCTTTAGTGGTTTAATACGGAAACCCCATTAGTTGGGGCAAAAAGTTAAAGTCCTAACATCCCTTGGCAAAATGCACCAAAGAATAAGTACCCAAATTGGAACATGGAAACATGGACCAAAACCCGCGGTCCAATTCCTGGTGCTTTAACTTTGACCCATATTTCCGCCGGGTGTCTTGCACTTGGCAATCTCTGGGCGCTGCTGCAGCAGCTGACAGGTGCCAGGCGCGTGCTTGCAGACCTCTTGGATTGGCTCCCCTGCGCCGAGGCAACGAAAGCGATCCCGAGTCGGGCCGTCGGGGCTCTCTTCCTCAGAGGCTCCTGGCTTCGGCTTTCCATGGACCCGAGCCCTTTATTAGACAGCCCGGGATGGTTTTGGGACCCGGTCTCAAAACCTGGCTGTTTGGAGGACCCTAAATTGATCGAATTGGAGAGTCTGGGTGAGCGGACTGGACAAAACAAGTCCAAACTTTCCGCTAAAGCCGCTAACTTTGCCTTCCCAACAAGTTTAAAGTCCAGGAAACTCAGGGAGCGAGGTAGGCTCGAGTTCGACCAATGGATTGGCTGGAAAAGGTCCATTTCGCTCGTCCGCGATGGTCACTTCGTGGCTCGAGTCCGGGAGACTGGATTTACAGATTCGCTCTGAGACTAGGTGACTCACAATCAAAACCTGGTACCAAAATGGTCGACCAAGAACCATGTGAAGAACCAAGAAGTCGGATATCCGCAGCTATTTACGGCTGGGATCGTGCCTTACTAACCTTCACTTACCCGGGTTTTGATTGTGGCTCAGGTGTCGCCATTGGCAAAACGCTTAAACCAGCGGTTCACTGGACATTCACCCTCCACTCATCCCAAAAAGAACACTAACATTGGCACATGAAGGCCATCGCAAGCAGAAGAATACCAGGGATGCCAATAAAAAAAGACCATGCGTTTCATCATGCAAGGGTTCCACCAAGTTGATTGTCTCCAACCCATGCCGGGAAATCGGAAAAGTCCAAGAGACCGGAACTGTTCACCTGGGCTCGGAGGTTGGAGGGTTCCTCAAGAGATACATGGCCAGGGCTAGATGACCTTGCTTCTTCCTGAGGAGAAATCGGCTTCCCGGCCGTTTGGCGTCATGAGTGGATGGTTCTGCAGGTGGGGGATGACTCATTTCGGGCTGCGCAAGCCAAAAAATGTTTCTCGGCTGCCCTCAGATCCCCTGCTAAACATTTAACTTTTTGTGGGTTACATGGAAAGTACCACTAAACACTACAGTAAAAGGCAAAAAACTAAGGGGATGGCTGGGAGCCACCAAGGTTTATACTGTTTCCCATCCCAAGGCAGCACAAAAGACACTCAAAGAAACTCAAGAGACATAAGCACAAGCGTTATTCTGCTTGGCAACACCGGATTGGTCCTTCGCGGAGCGTCTCGTTGGCGTGTTCTGTGTTGACTCAAACCGGAAGGAAGCTCGGTGATCTCTCCAAACAGAACACAAAGCAAATGACCAGCGCTTTTGGTGTCAAACCCATGATGTCTTTTGCAATTGTGCAGCCTAACTATCATCCAATCAGTGAACCAGGCAGCAGGTGAGGATACCCCGCCCAAAATGACTTTGACCCGGCTTTTTGTGCTCTGTCCAAAGGGTTAGCTAGGGATGCCACTGGGGCTCGTAGCACCTCCATCTTTTGGTTCCGAGTGGGAGGAAGATATCTTAGGACCCAGTGACGGCAATCCCCACAAAGCAAACAAAAAGGGGCACAACTAGGATTTACCCACATGTGGGGTGACCTAAATGGGTTCCTTCTTGCTACCTGCTTGTCCTTCAGCTATCGGAAACCTCTGATTTGAATCGTCCCCCAGCCTTTGCGGAAGAGATAGGCAGTCAGCCAGTCATCCCCTCGTGGGCCAAACTGCGTCTCCGCATTTCTGGTCCTCCAACCCAAGAGGGGAAGGCCCCTGGGATACATGACATACAATATTCATAAGGTACATATATATATATATGTATTCGGTGACTTCAGCATGCATGCATGTTTGCATATCCCACATCCCGTTTCCACTTCGAGCTGCAGGTGTGATGTCGGGCCAAAGTGATGATTCCCTTTCCTTTGTCAGAATCATTCCACCGGTTGCCCATGCCCAAGTAAAGGATCGTCATTAATCGACTCGATTTTAACCACTCAGTGGGTTTGCCTCAAGCCTCAAGATAGGGAGACCCTCCCCCAAATCGTTTTTTTCGGACCAAAACACCAAAACACCAAGGATATCCTCAAAACAAGTTATATACACCCAGGTCTCAGGGACCCCAAATGGCTTCGAATAGGCGAGCTCCAGCGTGCACCAAAGGACAACTCCTGCGTGTAGCATCCGAAAGGAGCCCATTGAACGGGCCCAAGAGTCCTCTCATCCAGACTGGCAAAGGTCGAACCAGCGCGCAGAATGCTTTCCAGTTCGCCCCTTATCACGGGATAGTTCTCCTCTAGGAACGAGGCCACGGGAAGTACTTGCGGGTCCCACACCTCAGGTGTCAGGAGGTCAGGAAAAAGGGGACTTGTTTGGGATCCAGTCATTACTTCAGCGTGGACAAGCAGAAAGGGGATGACTAAACCAAAATGGGGTGCGTTCTGAACTGTGCCATCGACTGCCACCTCAAATCGCGGCAAACACATTTGCCAACTCAAGCAGGCAAGTTAATACAAACCGGGGACATTTGGTGGTCTTTGGGACCCAAAACAACGCCATGCGCGACAAGCCTTGGATGCCCTCCTGTCACACGAAGCCACCCCTTGGCGCTAGTCCCTCTTTGCAACAAAGCACGATAGCCGTATTATATCGTTCTGAAAGCGTGCTCAACGACGGGTGCACAGGTTGAACAAAAAATCAGAAACTCCCTAAGGGAGGGACCTCCAAACATTGTAACATTCCCCTACCTGACCGAGGCTACAAAAGGCAAGCGGTCGTCGTCTAGGCAGCCCGAACATTCTGGTCCTACGCCGGGTGGGAGAGTACAGTAGAAATTACAAGCCATCTGAAAGTCCTTCCCCGAGAACACGCAGACAATACGCCATGCAAATAAAGTTCGTGGCAGCACAAACTACAACACAACATGTCGAAGCTGATGTCAACTCTGCATCAATCCGAATAATTACGCATAATTACAACTCAAAGGACCCGCGCCTAAAATGATTCGAACATCTTTAATCCCTCATTTTTGCGCGATCCTCCATTCGATTCCTCCAAATTGAACTAATAACAAGCTGAGACACAGGACCATGCCTGAGCGTAGCGGCTGGATAGTAGTCCATGTTGAAGTTCACTTCATGAGAGCTCAGCCCCTTCAGCAGTTCGATGTGCGGAAGCTGCTTGGCTTCCCGGAAGTACTCGCGAGTCCTAGCAACGGCCAAATTTCTAGAGGACACAAATGGCACAAGGTGAAACCACGTCTACCACAGGTTTCTACACGTGGCTATCTCAGGGTTCTCGTCTCAAGCCCCTGTTTAAGGCAAAGGGTCCAGTTAGCAAATGGGCATGTGTTAACATTGGCGGCCCAAAAACAAATGGTCCTCTCAGCCGGTCTCCCTTTACAACCCCAAAAGGGCTCGGTTGCTTTCTGCTCCCCTGCTAAAAGTTTAACCTTTAGTGGTTTAATACGGAAACCCCATTAGTTGGCAACAAGTTATTCAGTCCTAACATCCCTTGGCAAAATGCAACAAAGAGGGGGTACCCTCCCAAAACCACACACCAGGCCACACCCGGACTCCAACCCACCTCGACAAGAGCTGGCTGCCGGCCAACAGATTCCTTCCCAGCGCCAGATGTCGCCCAGTCTCCCCCGCCAGCATCAGCAGGTACCGCCAGCGCAGGTGGCATTGCTGGATGTAGAACTCCTTGGGGAGTTAAGTGCTTTGTTCTGCTAGGTCCTCCAGATTTGAAAGGTTAGAACAGGTTGGTACCCGTTTTTTTTTTGGTAGTCTATTTAAGTAGGGGAATCCTCCCCAAAAAAAGGGGAAAAGGGCCCCACTGAGGGACCTTGTCTGTTTTCTCAGGGACCCCGTTGCTTTTTTCAATGAGGTAGCCTCAATTGGTGGTTTGCATGGGGGGTTTGGAGCATTGATTCTGGCAGAGGGTAAGCGTAAAACCGCCTGTAGCCACCAAGCCACCAATCATCAAAAACTGGAAGCGGATTTTACCCTGGTTGAAGGGGACACCAAAAGCACATCCCCGCCATTTTGGGGTGCGCCAATTCCCTGTTTTGCCACATTCCCAATCTTGGGGCCACCCTTCCGGAGGAAGGTGCCGATCCGCCGATCCGTCGCTCTAATTGATCAGCCTGGGGACCAAACAAGGAACGAATGGGTCAACCTAACGAATTTCCTATTGCACCCTGGAAGTACACCCTAGAGACATTTCCTCAACTAGTCCCAAATAAACCAAAACAACCAGGTGTTATCTGGAAACAGGCAAAACTAGGGTGATTCTCCAGAGATTGTACTCCCAGGGTGTAATCGGAAACTAGACATGGTCAACGAATGGCCTCCTGGGACGGCTGACTTCCGGAGGATTTCTAGAAAGATCCGGATCCCTGGAAAGAATCCCTAGATAGACAGGAAGTATGGGCTTAAACCCAAAATTGGTGGTATCCATTTGGCTTCCCTTCAAGACGACCCCCCCGAGGTCCAACAACTCCGCCGAAGGTAGCACACACGAACCAAGCGAAGAGCCGAAGAGCGCCGAGGAGCCATGCCTTCCAGGGCAGGGTCGTGGCACCTCGCGTGGCGGACCGCCAGGTACATGAGCTCGGAAGCCTCGAAGGCGGCACTAATAGATATTCGAATATGGCCATGGGTCAAAACCAATGGGATCCCATTTTGGGGTATGTGAATTCACCACCCGTTTTAGAACCTATTTAGTGGGGATGGGGATGTTCACCGGGGGTACGGGATTTCTGGGCTGCCCTCAGATCCCCCGGCAAAAGTATCTAACCTTGAGTGGGTTAAATGGAAACTACCCACGAAAAACACTAAAAAGCTAAAAGGCTAAGGAACCGGATGGCTGGGACCCTGGGAGGAATCAGTGCATCTGTGTTGGAGTTGGTATCTTTGTTCTGGGCTTCGCTTGTCACGGACACCTTATTCGGGTGTTCAAGCAGAAACCTATGCAGGAATCGGGGCCTTGGGTACCCTATGTCCAACAAGTCCTGGAAGCGCACGGGAGATGATTGTGGGAGACCAAGCATCATCTTCAAACGATATGTTGTGCACTTCGGAGAGTGTGGTGTGTGGGTTGAAATGGTGATTATTTTAGGAACCTGCTGAAAAGGTTGTACAACATGCAACCAGGGTCCCAAAAGACCTATGCTTGACAACTAACAAGTACCAGCCTTCTAGACAGCGAAGCTTTATCATTTTGCAAGGGTCTCAAGCTTCTGTTCTTGATCCGGGGATTTGTTGGAGTCTGTTTCTTCTCGCGCTGGACGGTGCCACCCTCAGGGGGCATTTGCCACAGGCTTGCTTTCATTCGACGCCATCGGCAGGGTAAACGTGTGGCAAGGAAAACCGAAGCAAAGTCAAAGAGTGTTCCACTTTGAAGGTGGTTAAAGGTGGTCTGTAAAAGGGCTCCCAAGAAATATGTCCAAACAACAACCTCACCTCGCGCAAAGGAAACGCACTTTCAACTGGGCCAAAAGGCAATGATTGAACGTGCCCTTTACGGCTCCAAATGGGAACTTCCCCACCTCTGTCAACCTCTCAACCTCTCCAACCCCACCCACCCACAAAATGCAGAACATGTGAGCCATGGTCAAAAAGACTTCCTATGGCCTCTAGTCATGTCCCCTTAACAGGACTCATTCTAACGCTTAAGAAATGTTTACCAGGTGGCTGACCCTGTTCATCCGCGGCAAACTTGCTGGTGCTCAGTTGGGAACGAGGGAATGACTGGTCCCCTAAAAGGAAACCGCCAGTTGGATGGTTTCTTGGGGGTCATTTCATTCCAGGGGTACCTTCCCCATTCGTTCCAGGGATCCTTCTTTTCAGGAAACCATCAAAAACCCAGGGGGAAACAGGCGGTTTTTGAAAAGAACGATGGTGGAAAAGAATGGAAAAGGCATCAACCCCTAAGATTCCCTCATCATAAAGCACCAGCCATGGCGAACCGGTCTTCTGACCATGGCCACATGTTCACGCCTGGTAGCCCGCCATGGCGTTGGGCTCCTGGTTCTGCGGGCCTTCCCACCTCAGCTGCCGAGAAAGGGAAGTCCCAACAAAAATCCCAGTGGTAAGGTCCCTTTCCTCAGTGGTTCAGTGACCCTGGGAAAGAAAGGGAACCCTTTTTGGGGAAGACCATTTTTAGCGGGGCAGCCACTAAAAAAAAAGGGGGGAAAAAGGGTGCAACTGAACAACTGAGTTTTCTGTGGTTCTTTCTAACCTTTCTTTAGGTTTTTAGCCGTCGATTTGGCCACCGAACTGGGCCCCGCGAGATTATTTTTATTCGCCAAGGCGCCAGAAGTAGTTGTACAAGCCTCAGGCGTGTGCCGCTTTCTTTCAACGTACTCCTAGCCTGGGTCTTCCAAGGACCCGTAAAACCAGGGTCCTTTTTGATTTTGATCTTGGCTCCAAATGGAAATTTGGGCAAAGGCCTGCTTTTCCAGGGTCCTGGAAGATCAGGGTACTGGGAAGCTGATGTTGGCTTATCTTTTTTAACGGGACCCAGAAATTTGTGGTTTTCTTTTGGTTTTCCTTGGAGACCCTTAAGACTGGGGTACCCCAAAACAGACACGCCCGCGAAGCTTCACTTGATTGGAGTACTGTATCCGGGCCTCAGGTTCTGGTTGTGCCTCTAGAAAAGCAAAGCATCATGTCGTTAAAAATATGCGCAATGAGAATCCCCACATCCACCAAGGCCAACTTCCGAAACTTCCGCGAAACCTCCAACTCTTTCTGGGGCCACTTCAAAGCCCTTTGCACAAGCTAGACTGTTGGTGAAGGCCCCAGCCTAAAAACAACAGGTCTCACATCGGATGGACAAAGGTTGAACGGTGCGCTCCGAGTCGTTGCATGAGGTCTGCGGTTTCACCTCTTGGGATGAAGCTGTTTCTGGTCGACTCATTGAGGTAGGTGCGCCCCCTTTTACAAAGGATCCGGATCACTGGTCAAACTTAATCAACCACAACCAGGGCTCTGTTTCTCCAACGCAAGAAAACCATTGCTTAGGCATTCAAATGTAGGTAACTGAGACGTTCACCAGAGTGACAAGTAGAGGCAACAAAAACACCCAAACCTCACCTTGGGTCTAGTCCAAGGGGCTGAGCAATTGACACTATTATCCCACGGTCGTTATAGATTTTGTACCCAACCCCCCCTCCCCCCCATCCCCAATCTAGGTTTTATACCCCCACCCCCCCTCCCCCCTTCGCCCCCATGAGTCGGCGCGGTCACCCTGCGAAAAACTCGCACCAGGGCGCTCATGGCCACAGGCAGGGCAAGCGCCGGCACCTGCACTGCGTACTGGGCCAGGCTCCAAATGTCACTGGACAACGCCTGACTCAGTGACTCGTTTCGAGCGACTCGTTTCGTTGGAACGATCCATCGGAAAGGCTGGCTTTTTTCTCTTTCTGATTTGACCTGATGATCTTGTTGTCTGGGGAAATCCTGTTGATTTCGTCTGGGGACATCAGATTGATGGAACTTCATTTGTGCTGCAGATCTAATGGATCTTAGCGATTTGACCTTTGGCTTGGAAACAAAGGACTGGTTCCGCCAGATCGGGCCATGTGCGTCTTGGAGAAGCCAATTTGCAGACACCAGGTATCAGATCCCTACGAACCTCCTTGCTCTCAATTTTCTGGAATTGGCAGGAGGCACCAAAGAGCACCAAAGGAGAGTCTCCAATGGCAACCCTTGTCATTAGGAGATGGACTCTGAGCAACACGAAGCTGGCTGATCCTGAGACAGCCTCCAAAAAGGATTCGGGGAATCCTCCAGTTGCCTTGAGGAAGGAAGACTAGGCCAAGCACCTGAAGGCTTTGCCCCCCCCCCACCCGCCCGGGCTCTTCTCACACCAAAATGCCCTCCAGTGATTGAAGTTTTTTATCCTCAGATGCGTAGCCAGGGGAAAAAAAGAATCGGCATCCTGGTTGAATTTTGAAGGGAACCCTGCCCCAAAGAAGCTGAAGACAGGAAGCAACCCACGCAGCTGGGTATCAAACAAAGCTGGTATCACCAACCGCGGACCCCCTCAACCTCCGCACCGAAACCTCCCCAGACCCAAAGCCTGGCCCTGTCCCCGACCGCGGTTTTTCAGCGAAAGGCCCCTGGCACTCTTCCAAAGGTGTGATGCAATGCGCCAGCCGTGGGTGACTCGAAGAAAGGGGTCAAGCTCAGAGCTCAATCGCTACCAAGCAGAAGCCAACAACAAGTGACTAACAAGTGATCTCCCGGTGTTTCTCTTCCGGGCAAAGGCGTGTCCAAATGGTTTGGTGGCTGTTTTTCGCTGATCCTTTTTCTTTGAGGCGTTGCAAAGGAACTCCACAGGGGTTACCACATGGTGGGTATCCCTACTTTCGAAAATCTACAAGGTGGCTACCAACCCCAAACAACCCATTCCAGAATATTATAATATGTGGGTCTGTCTTTTTTAGACCCCCTCCCCCTCCCCCAAACAACACAAACACAACATGTTAGCTTTGCTGTTGGTTTCCCTTTAAAGCCAAACACAAAACAGGTGTCCTCAAACAAAACTAAGGTGGTGTTTTCCTTGTGGTTTCCCTTTACAACAAAAAAAACAGGCGCCCTCAACAACGCCCCCACCCAGAAGTAAAGTAAACCCCGGCTCCACCTCCGCCCCCCATCCGGCAGACCTGCCACTGCTGGAGTGCCGAGGCATCCTCAGGCGCCAAGATCATCGCGTAGAAGGCCTGGCCCAGGATGTTGGACAGCTTCCTGAGGCCAGACTCGCACCTATGGTGGGTGGGTTGGTGGGTCGGTGGGTTGATTTCTTTCCTGAGTGGTCAGAAGCAAAACCAGCCCAACTCGTGGTTTGCTCGGAAGATCAGGGGCTTTCTCCCAAGCCTATCCAGGGATCCCCTGCACCAGTGACTATGGGTTACACATCGAATCTTCGCGATTCGAGGCCCTCCTCTCAGCATTTAGAGCAAAAGGGGTCAACTGGCCCCATCTGACAGGCCAAACGTCCTCAACCCGCCGGGGACTTAAAGACTTCAAAACCAAAAACATCTTCCCTCAAAGAATCTGCAAGCGCGGAAAGTCGAGGTCTTGGGTCATGCTAGCCTCCAGCCAACTTTGTTTTCGCTCTCCATTTGCGTGTTATCGCCTGACCCCAGCAATGACCAATGAGGTCGATGGATTGCGGTCGACTTATTTGGAGCTTGAGGGCGACCCTCCTCGGCCGTAGAGCCGAGGAGGCTGAATTTGGACAGAGAAGCTACACGAATACCATCTTAAAACGAGGCGGATCCCTGCGAAGGCTACTTCTGGCGGACTCCAACATGAGACCGCGATAGAGTTGGTGAGTCATGCTTCGGGGTGAGTCATGCTTCGGGGTAGTAGATGCTGGTCCCTGTGCAGTTCCCGTGCTAGAAGTAGTCAACGCTTTTTGAGGTTCACCATTTTGAGGTCAAGAAACCCAGCAAAAAAAGGTGCCACTGAACAACTGTCGGGTCAACGCTGTTTCAACATCTTTAAGCCACAAATGACTGTTGAAAAACAGTGGCAAAAAGGGGCAACTATTTTTCCCCGGTCAACAACCTCCGTTTGGTTTCCATAGGGAGCCAGGATCGCGAAATTGAAACCTATTTGGTCCAACCAATTCTTATTTGGCGCCAAAGAAAGAGTGCCAAGGGCAGGCCCTATTTTCGCTCGACATACCACAAACAAATCGGTGAGCTCGAAACCCATAAAATATCTTCAGGTGGCCAATGCTCAAACCATGTTGGTTAAACGAACCTCCTTTGAAGCTCTCAAGAACCTTCTTCAAAGAACCTCCTTCAATACTTCCATTTGGTCAAGGCTCCAGGAAAAAAGAGTCCAGTATTGCGATCCGTTTAAAACCAACAAGGGAAAATAACACATATGCTTAAGCAAATGGAGGAATCATCCCGCTACTCTTCCCTCGAAGAATTCAACGAATTCCTGGAGTGCGAAGATCGGATTCCACCGCCACCGCGGCGCTCCATGTTCTCGATGTCATCCTCCCGTGAGAACTCGATGCCGCCGATCACCAGCGGCTCCGACGCCCCGGCGACGGCCAGAGCGACGGCCAGAGCGAGGCGGGCCATGCGCGGGAAGTGTGGTTGGGTGGCAGCTGATAGGGCTATAGTGGTAAAAACATATAGATGTATGTATACATATATATATATATATGTATGTATGTATGTATACATATATATATAGTGGTAAAAAAACCATATATATATATACGCATTATATATATATATATATATGGGTATGACATTTAATAAGGGGCCCTTTGGTGGACGTCGTTTATTTAGGTGGGGCTTCATGTCCACCAATCACTTTGAAGGTGGTTCCCTATGAACATTCATGGCCATATGGCGGCCATACATATATATATATATGTGAAATTTCCGCCGCTTGCTGAGCAAGCACAAACTTCCGTCGTGTCATGTCAAATCCGCCGTGTCGATTCAAAAGTGCTTTTTGGGAGCCTTGCTTCCCAGCGTGTTCACACGCAGGAAAATCCGCCTTTGGACCGGGAAACA